TACTAGGCTTGTAAACAGAGAGCTGCCGGGCCTCAAAGTTTGGAGACGGGGGGAGCCAGGAAGCATTTTATAAATAGAGTCAAACCATTACAAACTCATACAAGGAGATAAAACAGACGTTTCACATGGTGAAATGTGACTGATGAAAACTTAGGAGCTTAATCCCACACCAGTTTGACCAGGAATAACGTCGGGTGACGAGTCTGACTTTTTTTTTCACATTGGACTCCACAGAGAAGAAATCCCGTGCATACTGCTGCTTAAATGTTCACTACGTCAGAACTTATTCAGCAAATGTGTTTCATCTCTGCTTTTGTTCATTAACTCTTACAGGATGGGGAAATTGGACTTGGTGGAGGTTTGCACTCTCCGAGTGCTTCTAGTTAAAAGTATATAATTGAGAAATAAAAGTTTTTGGTAGAAAGAAAGACACAAGAAATAAATGCTAAAGATTCTTGACTGACAGCTCACCTGTTTGTCTGGACAAAATATTCCCAACTGTTGCACTTGTGAACTAGAAATGTCTTTAAAACATCTTTAATCTTCTGTTTTATATATATTTTGGCTCCACCCCCAATGCCAAAGCCGGGCCAGAAGTTTGAAACTAGGGGAAAATATAAATAAAACCTTGAATCTGACAAATAGTTTTTTAACTTTTTTTTTTTTACCCAGATTCAAATCTGTTTATTTTAGTTTCAAAAAAAATGTTTTTGGAACAAATTTCATGGCCCCAATTTAGTTTGCCTTTTTGAAATTGCAACCTTGGACATCAGAGTGGCCAGAAAGTGTTTCTGAAACAGCTTCATATTATTTATGGCCAGTAATGAACAACAGAACACACAGACTCTTCTGAAGAATGTAAAACACCTAAAGTAATAACAGTCTTTCTATGAAGCGCCACATAAAAATGTCAAATAGCCTTGACTGCTGCTCACCAGGTGAAATCGCTCTGTTCAGTGTTGGAGGGAAGTGAAAGTTGTCTGTAGAGCAGAGACTCATGTGGAAATCATAACATTCTCTGTAGTACCCAACACAGCTTCTTCCTGCTTTAAACGGATGTTATCAAATTAAATGTGCCGTGGAGCACTTTGTCTGTTTTGAGAGAAATGTGGACTTCTTTCTTCATTGGAAGGTTGTTGAAATTCCACATCTTGAATCAAAAAGATTAATCTCCAAAGCATTCGTGACACGCAAAATGGGGCAAGAACCTTTCATGTAATTCACTCCATCAAGTAGGCTATTAGTAGAAAAAAAAGAGTAAGTTACAGTAGGGTTCTGGGCCCGTATTAATCAAACTTCTTAGAGTGGATTTTTAGACTTAAGTGCTGAAAAATTCTTAGATTTGCTCCTACTCTCAGACTTAAGTGTAAGTACCAGTTATCAAAATTCTTAAGTCTTATGGTGCGTTCACACCGAACGCGATTTCAGCTTCAAAATCGCAGCCAACGCTGAAGTTTGAAGCTCGTGCACTTTGAGGTCAGACGCAGGACATCTGCGCTGCACGGCGACAGCCTCCCCGCCCCTCCCTCCTCTGTCGGGCTCCGTTTAATGTCGGACGAGGA